TATGAAGTATGAATTTATCAGCGCATGCTACGCTTATTCATCAATTAAGTGCAATTCAAAACAGTTCAATAAACTAAACAAAAAATAACATTTTTCTTCACTTTCAGTGTAATAACAGCAGCAAACAATGTTTAACATATAAAATCAAAACACACAAAAGCAAAGTGAATATGGCATCTAAGTCATTACATAGAGAACCAATAAACTTACAGCTTATCAAAATACTTGACGATATTTAGAGTGTAAGACGACAGGTACAACAAATGTCTGACTTGATAATGAATAAGTAGTATGACGATTATTGAAACTATCGAGCTCATCTAAAAATCGAATGGGAGTTTGGCGGGACGATATATAGTAACCTTTGTACATATTGTCACTTATACATACTTTGCATCGTAAATAGTTTTAAAGCACAATGTAACGTAATTCCACTCAAGCAAATAATAAGTCCGATAATATTCAAAAGGTTTAACTGATTATTGTTATACTCGACTGCTAAGTATAACATGACCATTTCCTACAAAATAAACATTAATTTTATAAAAGGAGTAAATATTTGTTGAGATATATTGCTTACTTTGAAAATGCCTGAAATAGATAATGTTAAACTCGATGTATTTGATACAAGTAAAAATTCACTAAACTCCAATGCAAATGCCAATAATGCACTGGAAAAAACAATACTAATATAGTGTCCAATATGATTAAAATCTTGAAGCGTTAATAGTTGAACGTCATGAATTAGATGAGAACCTATAAATGAAATAGAGAAGATTGAACTAGAACTTATGGACCAGTCGCTATCAATAAATGTATATGTATACCCTCTCTCAGACATGCTAGTGGAGTTATTACGAGTAGCATCCAAGGTTGAACATGAAACATGGCCTGTATTGGATTCGAAAGGCCTAAAATAAAAAATAAAAATTTCTTGTTTAGTTTATTGAACTGTTTTGAATTGCACTTAATTGATGAATAAGCGTAGCATGCGCTGATAAATTCATACTTCATAGAGAACTTTGAAAATCTTCTTTCGTTTCCTATATTGATGAGTACTATTAGTCGAAATATGTAGAATTTGTGGATTAAGTAACACAATAAACTCATTTAAGTCACAAAATTTTCCTTAAACGTCCATTTGTATATTTCAGACGTAGAATTTGACACACTGACTAAATATCAGATTATTCAACTTGAATATCCCATTGGTTTGATAAACTTCTACAAAATATACATTCTATGGTAATCATTGATACACATGAGACGAATATACATTTTATTTGAATTTTTCTCAATTATCGATAACAACGATATAAACAAAGGCTATGATATTCGTTCACATGATATTAATGTTTCGTATACCAATCTTTCATCAACAGGACGATTAAAAAAAGAAGTATCATGAACAATTTTATCATCTATGGAATTTACAAATCTTTTGGTTAGCTTAGACGTTGTGTTTACTAAAAAGGAAAATGGCACGATATTTAGTGAAACTAATAAAATTTGATATATCATGAAAATTATATGTTTCTTGCAAAAAAAAAAGAAAGTCAATTTGTATTATTTCAGGTGAAAACGTGCTTTTGAACATGTATATATTGATAATAATGATGTAACAAAGAGAAAGTTGATCCGTTGATATATTTGTGTGTGTATATTCTTGATCAAGAAAAGAGAATGACTAACAACAAAACAAAGTTTATTATAACAGTTCCCTTATTCTACAGGCGAGACTAATCCTTATGAACGGCCGATCTAATCTATTAAACGTTTTCTTTTATACGAAATACAAAAGAAGAGTCATTTTAATTTGTTTACGGACAAACATTTCATAGTAAATCATTAAAAAAAAAACACAGAGAGAGAGAGAGAGAGAGAGAGAGAGAGAGAGAGAGAGAGAGAGAGAGAGAGAGATGAGAATATCGAACAATAGACAAGGATCAACGATGGTGTTCACTTAAAAAATGAGATCATTTTTCTAAAAAGTTATTTTACTCTACTAAATTCTTATAATTATTAAAATATTAATAAATGAATAAATGAATGAATGGACTAAAAATTGTAAAAGCGCTATTGATTCGAATAGCTCTGATAGCACACGGATTAATTTGTGCATGGAGAGTGGTCGATACAAATGATAATCAGTATTGTTGGGTTATATTAGTGGGTTTGGGATTTCTACTCGTTGAAACAGGAATTGTTATATGGTTAAGAAATGGACAAGAATTTAAAACGTATGTTAAAACCTTTTCTTTTTTTCTTAATAATTATATTGTATATAATATTTTATTTTCATTTTATTATAGTGTCGCATTTTGCATCATTTTTTATATGACATGTAGTGCATCATCCTTATGGATTATTCATGTAGAAACAGCTAATAAAAAATTATATCGTTTGGCTGAAAGTAAACTGTCGGCAAGACGAGCACCCACAATTGGAGGAAAATTAAATAAAAATAGTATCATTGAACATCATAAAAATTCAAGTATATTAGCTAGATTAATAACACATTCTACAACAACAACAGCAGCACAACAAACGGTATTATCCATAGCTCAAGTGGATTGCGAAGATAAGGTAAAATAGTCAATTATTCATGATCTAATGTGAAAAAGTGACAAATACATTGACCCATGGGTATAATATAAAACTATCGTTTAATCGCACAAAAATTTATAGATACCAGTGCACTTATAATTTCTCTAGACTGTTCATACTTCTAAAATTTTCTCTAAACAAGATATTATGATGATCATACAATAATTAACTAAATTTCTATTCATATTTTAAAGATTGCATGGTAATATAAATTTTCTTTTCTATTAGGCCTGGTATTATGTGGATGAACAACGATGGCTTGATGCATTACAAGAATCAATGTTAGCATTATTATGTTTATGTCGTCTATTAATTAGTCGTGATCATTTATCAGTTGAAAAAAGTGGTATTTTATTAATATTATCAATAATGAATAGTGCTGATATATTATCAATATCAAATTCACTACAATATCATGATGTTATTATTGAACGTTTATGGATGTATGTTGGTTTAATTTTATTTACCATTGTTTTATTTCAATTAGCATTTATTGAAACAAATGGTTTAACATATTCTTATTTTAATTCACAACAACAACAACAACAACAACAAAGACGTTATTATTATCATAAAGGACAAACTGTTGCTGAACGATTTCGTTCAAGATTACATCGAGCTAGTATAGAAAAAATTAATTTTTTACAAGATCAATTAATTTGTCCATTATTTAAATGTTTATTTTTACATGATGGTTTATTTTTAATCTATCGAATATTATTATCAGTTAAAATTCGTTGTTCTAAACCAACATTAATATTTTATATATCAAAAAATGTTTTTATGATATTATATCAATGTTATCGAGTTTATAAATGTTCAAAAGATAAACAAAAACGTTTAATTTATGAACGATTATTTGATTTAACATCAGCTAATGGTAAAAAACAACGTCGTCATCCATTTCATTTCATTGAACAACTAAATAATAATCATCATCCTCAACATCATACAACAAAAGCACAATTAAATATTGATAAAAATAATCGACGACGAACATTGATGAAACCTCGTATGAAAGCACGTTATCCATCCAAAACAATGCCAACGGATTATGGTGCACCTTATCCATTTGTAAGACGACAACGTGGTGGTAAAACATCATACGCTGTCTACGGTTTACCATTTGTTACTCAACCTCGACGACGAGCAACATTATCGTCAAGTAGTCAATCATTAATGAACTTTGTTCGAAATGATAGTGGAGCGGGACCCGGCTACATACGTTGGGCATCATCATTATCAAATCATAATACTATTGCTAAAGCAATTGTTCAATAATCTTACCTAATTCATTTTTCTGTGTAATTAATTGTGTTATTGTCCATCTGAGTCCACTAAGAAAAGATGCAGTCATAATTAAAAGGAAACCAATTGTATGAAATTCTGTATAATGATACGTAAATAAACATAAACCAAATGTGATTAAACCCACAACAACCACAAGTGAACATCGCTAAAAAATGATTAAAAACAAAAACATATTATCCTTTTTTCTTTTACTATCAATGGTGTCCCATCTGTTAGACTTACAAAACGTTCTAATCCAAAGATGATAGCGAAAATGAGAATATACACAATCACCTAAAAAAGATAAACAATACAGAGCTAAAATCTCAATATTTTAATGTTTTATTCTTATAGACCATTCAACTTACTGTCGATTTACACATTATATACAAAGATATTGTAATGTATTGTAAACTCCAGTTTGACAAAGCTATATCCAGTGCTGCTGCTACACCTAAAATAAATTTGAGATAGATTATATTTTTGCCCTATCGAGCAAAAATGTGAAAACTTTTACCTTCAATTTCTGAGAAATACTAATAAAAAATAGTAAAAGAACTGATGACAATGCGTCGCCAACGTTCCAGTTTTACACTACGACAGTTAGAGAACGACAAATTACGGAAATGATTATCCCGAAAAAAAAAGTAATAGGCAGTCTGTCTTGCCGCATTCTTTGGTTCCCATCGGATTGAGTGACTTTCACTGAAAAAACTTTCATTAAAGCGTTTTTTTTGTAATGAAATTCCGATATCCCTTTTCACCTTCATTTTATTCTACATGAACAATTATACAGCAGTAGAAAATTTTCATTAAACTCTAGGTGTGACGAAGGTCATACTTACAATCGGTACTCAGCCTCTACAGACGGATGTCCGACTGGAATGTCAAACAGGATGAGGACAGAAAGTGCAAAAAACGATTGTAACCCATCCAAAATCTTG